GAGGTTCAGAACCAAGAGGGTTCCGGACCAACAGGGTCCTTTTGGGGTTTCCTCTTCCGGTTTTGAGTTGTTTTCGACTGAGGAAGGTACTCAGGGAGATTTGAGAGAGATTTGAGATACGTGGAGAGATTTGGGAGAGATTTCACATACTTGGAGAGATTTGGGAGAGATTTCACATACTTGGAGAGATTTGGGAGAGATTCACTATACTTGGAGAGATTTCGCATACTTAGAGAGATTTGGGAGAGATTTCACATACTTGGAGAGATTTCGGAGAGATTTCACATACTTGGAAAGTTTTGGGAGAGATTTCACATACTTGGAGAGATTTGGGAGAGATTCACTATACTTGGAGAGATTTGCATTCTAACACTTTATGGTTCCTTAGGAACTCATATTGAACACTTAGGTGTGTTAGCACAAGTCTCACAATAGTCCTTGCTTATTTGAGGATGAAATTTCCTAGCCAAAAAGGCTAGTTGTGACACCTGACTCCATCTTCTTCTTCATCTAGGTCAAATTCCCTCCATGAAAGTGTAAAAAAAAATCAGACTTGCTCAAAACCCTAGTTTTTATGTCTTGAAAATATTGACTAAATCTTGTATATGGATTCAATACTAAGCTTTCGGAAGGGATTGTAAAGAAGAAGGGAAGCTTTTACCTCCGTGTGTGCATTCCACCATTGAAGAGCTCAACTTTTCTTGAGGTTGAAGATGAAGTGAAAAATTCAAGCACACATCACAAATTCAAGCATTCGACTGGTACATTCCTTCCATATCTCAAGTTTGATGCATGAGTCTTAAGATTGTTTGACTAGAATTGTTGAGAATATGTTCATATGTTCTATATAGTTATACATCCATGTCTTAGTAGGTTGCCATATCATCTCCAAGCATCGAGTACGATGCTTAATCTTAAGCTTGGGGAGGAGTCTTTTTACATTAGGTTCTAGTTTCCACATGCATTTCATCAAAAACATTTCAAAAATAATTTACAAAAAGATTTTATTTTAAACTTATTTTTAGTTTGCATTACCTATAAAAATTTATAAAAAAATTCCAAAAAGATTTTCCTTCTATTCTAATTTTTAAGTTTTTGTATCTCATTTTCTACATTGCATTAAAAAAATTTGAAAAATCTCAAAAATATTTCCCTTTTCTGTTTTGTTTCTGATCCAATCCAAAGGAACCTAATCTTCTTAAATCAGTTGAATTGGTAAATGAGACGTGCCTTTAGATTAGAACTTGTTCGTTTTTCATTAAAAAAATCTTAAAGCAATCTAATCACACATGAACACGTTTCTTGAAGCCACTCGTGCAAAACAGAAAATGATGAGGTTGTCAACACTGATGCATAATAACAGGTATAGGTTAGCCTTTGGAACGCACGACCGATCTTATTGTTCGTAATGCTCAATCATAACCAAATCTCAAATTCATGAAAGAATATAAAATGAATATAAATTTTCAGTGACCCGAACCTTCCAGCGCTCTAAAAACTCATTTCTACAAACTCATTTCTACCTATTCCCTTCTAAGTATCTTGCTTGGGGACATAGTTTCTAACTATACTTACGGGTCTTTTCGTGTTTACATCGGTCCCCCGAAAAATGTTTTAGAAGTCTCTCATGGTAATTGACCGTGAGATGTCCCAACAATAGAAAAAGTCAATGACCAAAAATATAAAAAATTAGGCTAAGAAAATAACTTAAACATGTAGATATGTACTTTTCCATCTTGGTATGTCGCATCAAGTCGGCATTTAAGCATGAGTGCATCTTCGGATACTTTGAAAGTGCGCCCTTGCGAACAGAACTTCAAAGGAGTTGTGTATGGACAAAATATAAAAGAGTTAAGAAAAAAAAGAGTTCAAAAAAAAGTCAATAAGTGGACAATTCCACAACAATATGAGTTGCATTAAAAATACAACTAGGAAAACTGTTTGGCTGTCAAAAGATCCCCTTAGAGTTGAACTTGAACTTATGACATCAGGACTGACTGTTAACTACTTTGACTGGTGATAGAGTTTTGAAACATGTAACCAATCTAAGAGGTTTGACTGGTAAATATTAGGGAATTTTTAGAAAAAAGATTTTTTGTTAGTCAACAAATAGTTGGAGTTGTTGAGCATATTTTTCATCACATATGTTTTCATGAGAGTAAGGTCATAATTTGTTCCATGTGCTAACCCAATACCGGTAAAAGCGAACAAGTGTTGTAACTTTTGATTTTTTTGAGTTGGGTTAGGGAGTGGCTAAAAGTCTTGTTTTTAATGTTATATATCTTTGTGGGGTTAATGCTAAGTTATCTCAAGGCACGACAGGTACACCTTCGACTGTATGACACAATGAGGTTAATTGGATTGAATCTTGTTGTTTTGTTTTATTTATTACATTGATGTTTGAAAAAAAAATCTTTGAATCATTGTTAATCTTTTTGTACATATGTTATTTTCTTTAGTTTTTCTTTTATTGCATACATTCACTCATAATTCCCTTTAGGTCCTTTTCATTCTTTCCGTTCTTTTCATCTAGGTTTCTTTTTAGTCACCTATCGTCTTCTTTAGGGTGATTCTTCATTTTGTTCTTCCTTGAGGACAAGAAAGGTCTAAGCTTGGGGAGGTTTGATATGTGCATTTTATGCACCTATTTTGTATGTTTATTCTCGTCCTTTCGTAGCATTTAACTTCATAATGCTTGTATTTAGTTAATTATTTGGGAAATTGCATATTTTATTAAGAATGTCTGGTACTTCACTATTTTTTATTTATTTTGTAGGCATTATGGAGCATGGAGCATAGAGCTTGGAGCATTGGATCATGAAGAGAAGATGGACCAGTCATGCCATGGAAGATAACATGAAGACATAACCCGAGTCGTTGCATATCATCATAGCAAAGGACTACGTTTGAAACACGGTTCATGTCACACCGACATGAGTTGTGTTTGTCCTTTTTTATCTTATATTTGAGCAACATGACTCGGGGTGAAGCTAGACTGAAGAAGGAGCCAGCAGTGAAGACTTATTGGACTTTTAGCAAAAAGCACGGGCCATGCTAAAGACACATGGTCAAGACAAATGGCCATGCTAAAAATGCATGGGCAAAAGACATGGTCATGCTAAAAATGTGTGGCCTTGAGTTAGGCACGTGAGCAGTTAATAAAAGAGGGAAAGACATCATTTTTTAGAGGATACGGTTTTTTGGAGCAACTTCTGGCGATTTTGGGAGATTTTTGGGGAATTCTTGAAGGCTGCTAATCATTGCAAACACTTATGATTTCCTTTTGTAAGCATTAAATATTTCAATTCCATCTTTATTCTTGTTTGATATTTCCTTAGCCATGTGGCTAAGAAACCCTAGTTTCTTGTTCCTGTTCAAAACACGTTGATTATTTGACTTGAAGCATGTGATTTGATGTTTGATTTGTGATTCTATTCTAGTGATTATGTTTTTGTTTAAACTAGAACCTTTGAATTTGATTTGTTTTTGATTGACCACTTGTATGAATTGAATTTTTGTATAGTTAATTAACTTTTAGGGTACTTAATAGTTCTATTAAGTTAATAATTTGTAACAAACAATAAGTTTTCTTATTGTAAAACATATATCACATGTTTTCACAGTTTCGAGCATATGAGAAGAAATGAACATTGTTGGGAACCTTGTACAAAACTTAATGCAGTTTTTCAATACAATCTAAGAGCATGTTTAGATTGAATTAGAAAAGCTAGGTCTAGTCAACGAGCATGTTTTGGTTAGATGATTCAGAAAACGAGAGGTATTAGAGCGTGTTAATATCTTTCAGTACCAATATAGAATAGCAATCATGAATTACATCAAGTCATAATCAAGTTAAGTGTCAACATTGAGAACTAGAACTGGAACCATTTCAACAACCTATTTACAAATCTATTTCATTTTCTGCATGTTTTCAAAGTAGATTGTTATTTTTATTATTTTACTTTTGCAAATAAATCCCTCTTTGTGACCAAAGCACCTTGCACAAAAAGGTATAGATTTTTATCCTGTGTCTCTGTGATTCGACCCTGCTTGTCGTATACTACTTTTTAGCATTAAAGCAATGTATTTTGGAGTCCTTTGTACCTCTATTATTTATTGGGTTTGACATGCCTAACACCCCTCTTACCCTCCGTTTTAAAATCCGACCATCCATAGATCTGTCGATGTCACCGGTGTTCTCATCTACAAAAACCCTCCGTTTCAAGATCTGCAAAACGAAACCGACGCAACAGATTTTCCCCTCTTCCGCCACCGATGTTCGTCGCTTTCCCTTTCGTTAGTGATGGACGTAGCCTTCTCGATCTATGTTTATATCTCGATCGGGATGAACTCCGATAGGCAACAATGTTGAGATAGTGGTGGCGAACCACCGACGTTCTCATCTAGTGAATAAGGAGGCTCAATGAGGTGTTGCTCTGTAGTGGTTTTCTACTGAGGTGATGCTCGACGATACAGGGTTGATGATGGTTGGTTTTTTCAGTGTGGTTTTAATTCGGTGGTATAAGGATGGTCGATGGTGGTTTCTCAACTCCAGTGGTAGTAGGGGTAGGTGGAGGCTGAAAAAAAAAATTATTGACAATGGGTGGTGGTGGTGGCATTTAGATAAAAGAGATAGGATAGACTCTTTTTTTTAATTTTTATTAATAAAAACAATACAAAAAATAAATAAAAAATAAATAAGAATCAAATATAAAGGTAGTCTTTTTAAGTGTATAGTGACAACGACAAGACCATTTTTGCAATTTTGTCCCAAAATAAAGGAATCTATGGGCAAGACTTTCATATTTAGTAAACTGTAAACTAAATTAACAAAACAAAAAGAGTGAGAGTGGTCATTCTATCTTTCAAGCAAAACCAAACCAAGACTTTGATTTGCTTTCTAATAACGTCTAAATAAATAAATACTTAGTAAAATCATTCAGTGTGGAAACAAGGGGGGCATGGAGAGCATAAATAAAAAGCAGGGACAATACCAGAATCTATAACAAGCCCGCCCAAAATGATTTAATTAACCTGGCTAAATCAAAAACAAAACCCGAATACAATACAGATTCTATTATAATATAATATAAATAACAAGAAAGAAATAAAACATCAAGTAATAAATAAATATATAATTTGGAACAAAATTTTGGCCATGGCAGAACTAAATTTGGTGAGTCAGATCATACCCTGGGTCTGGTCTACCTTTTCTTGGTTGAGGATTTTGTTTTCTTCTTTGCTTCTCTTAGAGCTTCTCTCTTCTCTTCCCTGCATCACCATAACCATAAGCATCATATTCATGGATACAAAATTATTACACCACATTAATTTTTTAATAATTGTATTTTATTTGTGTGTATTATATATAGCATCCTACCTTCATTTATATTATTAAGAATCTACACAATTATTACATCACACATTTTTTCTTAAAATACAGAAAAGTAAAAAGCAGTTTCAAGGCTTCATCAAATTAGCCACTAAACTATTTTTTCTACAACAATTAAACAACTATACTTTTTTTATCGTTCAAAAAACAATCATCCTTAAAAGTTACATTCACCACTTTTCAAATAAGCCACTACCGGTAATTTGATAAAACAGTTGCCCTTTTCTGTTTTTACCTTTTCCGAGAAATTTGTTTTCTAAAAGGTCGAAAATAGTAGTATAATGATTTATAGGAATTAGTTAAGTGTAAAATAATGAAAGTTTAACCGATTTTTATTTTTAACTTTTCAAAATCGAAGTTGCATTATATACATAATACCAAAGAGACATATATGGTGTGTGTGTGTGTGTGTGTGTGTGAGAGAGAGAGAGAGAGAGAGAGAGAGAAGATGTACCTGGCTTTTGAGATCTCTTCTCTAGGAGGAGGTTTATATTTCTTCCTCTTCTCAAAAGTGGCAGGTTTTTCTTCTTGTTTTTTTCTTTTAAGAGAAGCATCATTTGAGTTTTTTTTCTCTTTTTTCAATACCTCTTTCTTTTGTTTTTGTTGAGGAATTTCTTCTTCCATGATTTCAGAACCTTCTTCCACCTCTTCTTCTTCTTCTTGTACTTCAGAATATGTTCCAGGAACTCCCTTTGAATTACTCATTTTTTTCAACTGCAATATCAACATAAATAAACATAAACCACCGATTCATTAATAACTCTACAACCATTCAGAATACAAACTATTACATTTATAAACCATTTACTAGGACTTATCGTATTTCTTTGGTCAATTTTATAATCTCATAAACATCAATTACAGTTAATCCCATGCGGGTATTTAAAAATCTTCACAATTTCTAAAAAAAACTACAAAACGTAAGTAAACTACCCAACCACAGCATTGTGACATTATGCTTTTGGTATGTTGTTGCTATTGTGTATGTATAATATAATGGGATACCTTTGCAACAAAAAAGCCATCCATGTTATGGACATGTGGATAGAAACGTCTTGTCTTTTCCAATGATGGATGAAATCTACGTTCCCTAAATCGAACAAACCTACATAGTACATACAATAAAGAAAATACAAATTCTTTAGACAAAAATATTCATCAAATTTTTTTTAAAAAGGTAAATAAATAAAATACCCTGGGCGACCAAAATCTAGTCCACATGGCACGAGTTTCACATCCCTCTTCTTCAGTGCATAGTCTATAACATCTTCATTCTGCAAGATCAAAAGGACTCGGATAAAGTGTTTATTGTCTGGATAAAAGAAAGATGTTTGAAAATAATTAAAAAGAATAATACCTCAATAACCATCAAGGAGCATGTGGAGTAAACCACATAACCCCCTGATTTTGAATTTGCATCCACCATGTCAATTGATGCAAGTATTAGTTCCTGCAAATCAACAAATTTAAAATGGAGCTCTTATACAACAATAATAATAACAACATAACTTAACAAGTTTCTCTCACTAATTTATGACATTCATAAAGTTCTAGAAGAATAATAAGGTAAGAGGTGTGTAGAAGTGAATAGCATACTGCATACATAAGTGGTCCGATTAACTTAATTCATAGAAAGGATTTGTGTACCTTTTGTAGACGTGAGAAGTTCTGTACATCAATAGCATTTTTAGAGGTTTTGACAGATTCATCTTTAGATATAACCTGTAAAAATTATATAAATAAATCTTCTTAATAAACTGTTAAAGCAAGGACTAGATTACTAGAAACAAGCATATGATATGAGCATATAAAAATCATTATGCTTACCCCAGTACCACTGCAAGGGGCATCCAACAAAACCCTGTCTGCTGTGTTATGTCCCAATACTTTTGGGAGCTGAAATCATATCAAATAAAGAAAAAAGTTAATTAATTACAAAAATGCCCATAAATGGAAATTCAATATTAAAATATGAGACTGAACAATATTTCTAGAACAATTTTCAATGATGAATTGATGAGGACAAGGGCATTCACGTATTTTGCATAGATGAGAAATTGTAGCCTTTTTAGGTGGGACAAAAAATTGCAACTTTTATCCCATTAACATCAGTAATATTAAGCTTCATCTGATTAAATTATATAAATATATATATATATATAAGTTAGAAAAACTAACCTCCTTCCCATCATAGCTGCATACTACAGTATTTGTAACACCCAATCGTTGTAAATTAGATGTTAGTTTACTAAGCCTCTTCTCCTTCATCTCATTAGCATAAATAATACCTAATAAGAATCACATAGGGTGGTTGGTTAATTAGATAAAATTTATATAAAATATATTTTATATCCAAAATGACATCACAAACAAATTGTGTAAATGTGCAAAGAAAGAGCATACCAGTGTTTTTCATAAGAGCTGCAATGTAAGTGGTTTTACCACCAGGAGATGCCCTACAACAAGTAAAAGTTGTTTTTCAAAAGGCAGAGATGTATACAGGTTTAAATCTGATACTAAAATGTGTATTAAAACAAAGAAAGTATATAAAAGCTAATTATCAATAAAACTGAAATCAATTACAATTCCTTCTAAACGCCCCAAAGCTTTTAAATCATTTTTATAGTGTAACAAGTTTCGAAGGTATTTTGGAGATAAAATGTAAAAATATGTTAGATACTTACGCCATATCAACAATCCGTTCCTTCTCTTGAGGAGCAAGAGCCATTACAGGTAGAAAAGAGCTTGCGCTTTGCACCTATAAAGAGTAAACAAAACCAATAGTTAGAAGAAATAAGCAAATCTTACAAAATAAAAATAAAAGTTTTTTATCTAGGAAATAAGTACCATGTAATGACCAGCCATATATTCTGGGGTTGCACCATATGGCACTTGATGATCATATACAACCAAGCCAACCTGTTGTTGTTCAAGGGGCAATTAGTGAAACATCACAAAACCATAAGGTAGTGTTTACTATGCAGTAATCAAAGGGGGGATGGAATGGAATGAACCATTCCATTCCTTCCCTCTTCCATCATGACCAAACACTACCTAATTTTACAAACAAAGAAGATGAATGATCCTTACCTTTGACCACTTGCTTAAAGGATCCAAATTGATACCTCTATTTAACAAAACACCAGCCAAGTCTCGTCTCCGTGTCTATATATCATCATCAAAAAGTGGAGCTACATAAGTATTATAGCAAAAACCATGCTATTAAAAAGAAAACGAAAAAATAAATAAGTTTTATATCAATCACCTTTAATGTATTGGTACGTAGGGTGATTGGTCGAGGCTTTTCAAAAGCTTCAATTAGTTCCATAAGTTCAACAGGTGGAAACATCTGTACAAAATGTAATAATTAGAAACAATTAGAATTTGGTCAATGCATAAATTATCATACAAAATATCAAAGAATTAAAATTTAATTACCTCAACAAATGAAGAAATAAGGAACTCATTGTAGCCATAATATGATCCTAAATCCAACTTAAGTTGCTCTATATACTGCTTTCTTGTTGCTCCCTCTTGCCTCAAAGAACTAAAATTTGAGAGAATCCTAACAACTGGACAGTTTAATATGAAATATGTTATAAAAATGGAGATGGGAATATAGGGGCATAAGTGGAAAATGAGTTTTTTAATCACACGATAAGACTCACTCTCTTTTATTCTTTGTTGGAGACCAGTGAGATCAGGGGGTCCACGAGCTTCCTCTTCAAGTTCCTATAGTAAATGGATTTAAAAAAGGCATGAAACAATACTCTTATAATTAATGAAACTAAAAAATTGAGCAAATTAAAACTCATCAAAACCCAAATAAGATTATACTTAAGAAAATATATTTTTTAGTTGTATTTAGATAAAAAAAAATAGAATTGTGAAATTTTGAAAAAGATTTGTTATTAAATACTTCGTAAATAAAATGGAATATATCGCAACTTCCCATTCCATTCCATGATAGAATGAAAAAAGCTAAATAACAAAAAACGACACAATAAAAGGAATCGCATTGCTTTAAGAATGTTCATTCCATTCCATCATACAAAACAAACAAGTTCTTTCTCATTCCAATGGAATTAACCATTCCATTCCTTCCTGGATTCCGTTATATACCAAACACTACCCAAGTAAATACAACATAACATGTCATTTAAGCACAAATGAAAAAAAAAAAAAAAAAAAAGCGGTAAACCTCCTGTGTCGGCAATCGAAACTCATCAGGTTGTTCTTTGATATTAAGTTGTAGTTCATCTTGTCCCTCTTGTTGTACTATCGCACTTTCTTTGTCTATAGCTGCAGATTCTGCCTGAGGATCACGATCGGAATCGGAATCGGAACCGGAATCCAATTCCAAATCGGATCCGGAATCCAATTCCGAATCTGAACCTGACCCCTTAACTGTAAACAAATAAAACCAACCAAAAAATAACTAAGAAAATTGGTATAGATATAATACAACTTCAAATTGCATAGTATATATGATTTGAACAATGAAACATAACATATTAAAGTGAAAGTTGTTTTTTAAGAAAATTCAAGAAGGTCCTCAATGTCCATCAAGTATTGTTTGTTTTTGACTTCACAGACTTGGTGTAAGCTGTCTATTGTTTTTCTTGTTTACTTAATACAGAAACAATGACTGGATAAAAGGAAATAAAGGAAAGGAGGCTTTCCCCATTAAGTCCAAACTTCTTACATATTTGCCCTCATATTTTTGTTCCTTTCAGTCCCAAGTTTGTTGTTTTGTTCTATAATATTTTTGAACATCAGCACATGGAAAAAAAAGTCTAGAGGTGGCAACAAAGGCAGATCGGGCAGTTTGGGTAAAATGTCAAAACAGATTTGGGTCAAAGATGCGAGTTTTAATACATGTCAAACGGGTCAGGTTGACCCATTAACGCCTTTTGTCCAGATTTTTTAGATTTATAATTAGTCATGCATTAAATATGATTAAAAAACTATTCTATTCAAATAATTATTTTTAAATTTATGGAACTTAGGAGGTTGTATGTATCTAAATTCAATGTCCGATTCCAGCTGAGTCTATTTTTATGACCTTAGGGAATACCTAATTTTAAGTTAAAGTTCTGTATGGTGCGTGAATATGGAACAATTTTTTCCGCACTTCCAGATAAAGTTCTTTCAATTAGTTCTCTTGTGTGTGAGTGATTTCATCGCCAAATTTAAGTTCTTACCTTTACCTAATTCATTTTGATAGATTATTGTTTCAACAAGCATAATCCTTGGGTCCAATAGTTGCAATTGAAGTACCTTCATCGTCGTTGCCTCCTAAAACATCGCGTGCATATGTATCATCCCCATCCAACGAAAGTTCCGACCCCGAATCCCCACCTTCATCACTGTTGATACTCTGCTGTTGTTCCAGTTCTTCGTCTTCCATATCAGACTCGCTCAGAATATCATTTTTCTTTTTGCTCTTCACAGAAACAATCTCCTTACTGTTTGGTTTCTTCTGTGACTTTTTGCCTTTAATAGCCATTGAAGCTACTAAAGAATGTAAAACCAGATTAGCACGAAAGGAGTCCAGAAATTGAGCATTTAAAGAAATTTAAGTTTCATAAATCATAAAACCCTAAACATCAACATAAAAGTGCGGTCAAAGAAATCGGTATACCAGCAGAGGCTGACGAGAAAAATCGAAATCGCAGGCTCTAAGGTAGAGAGACAAGGGACGAAGAGAAGTCCAAAAGAGAGAGAGAGAGAGAGAGAGAGAGAGAGAGAGAGAGAGAGACTCACCAGAGATTAGGGAAGCTCTTGTCGGAGGAAACGCAGGCTGACGACGTCGGGGGAGAAAGGAGAAAACGTCGAGGTGGAGAACTGGAGAAGAAGAATGCGTCGGCTTGGTAAACGAGGGCCTAATGTTGTTCTTGCAAATAGGGTTTTCCGGTAGTAAATGAGGCGGGAATGCGTTATGGTAAGAGGATTAGGGTTTAAAAGATTGAAGGCCGCTGTATTTTGTTGTTGCACACCCAGTATACGTTACTTTTTAAATTGTTTGTTGGTTTAAATTGTTTGTTGGTTTAATCGACTAGAAGTTAACGAACTTTGGTCTTTGTTTACGTTAAGATAATCATATTTTTTTCGTATATATTTGACCATTGAACTTGTTTGACCTATTCAAAATAAGGTAATATGACGGGTAATTAGCGGTAACATTACCCTATTATGAACAGATCAAGTTTACCGGACAAATGTGTACGAAAAAAACATAGTTATCTAAATATGGACAAAAAATAAAGTTCTTTACCCATTTTTGGTAATATTTGTTTCTTTATATTAAGTGTAGGTAGTCATAAGACTCATTGATGTGACATAAAATTGGGTTGTTCAGTCTTTGTGTATAAGGAGATGGTCAGTCAACCCAGTTTAGGCTCAGCTAGTTTGGGGTTAGGATGTATACGCTTAAGGGGCTAGGTTGTATACGCTTTAAAGACCTAGCAACACAGCCTAGCCTATGACTAGCCGAGATTGAACTGAGTTAGACCAAGCCAAACCTAATTGTTCATTAAATGTCGGAGCCTGATCCCAGGGTACAATCCCTGAGACGGTTCTTGTCCAATATTACTAAAACGGGTAAGAAACATTGGTTTTTGTCCATATTTAGGTAACCATGTTTTTTTCGTACATATTTGACCAATAAATTTGTTTGACCTGTTTATAATAGGGTAATATTACCGTAATTACCAGTCATATTATCCTATTTTGAATATGCCAAACAAGTTTAATGCTCAAATGTGAACGAAAAAAACATGGTTACCTAAATGTGGACAAATACCAAAGTTCGTTACCTTTCTAGGTCATTAACCCTTGTTTGTTTTGGTTCAATTGAGTCATTGTTTAATTCCAAGAAAACTTTAGAGTGTTTCCTTGCGGAAAAATTTTTAGTTTTCATAAAAAATTTCAAATGAAAATGAAAATTTTAAAAACATGTTTGGTTGATTTAGTTTTCAAAGTTTTTCCTAAAACATGAAAAATTCCGGTTTTCCAAATTGTATGTAGTTAGAAACGTATTTTTTATAGTTTTCTAAAATTCTAAGATAGAAAATAAAAACTCCACCGTTTACAATAGGGATGAGCATATGGACCGGGGAACCGACCGGAACCGGAACCCGATGGAACCGGTCGGGCTGGTACCTGGACAATATTCTTATGGATTTTTGGAACTGAAAACCGGTAGAACTAGAAAAAACCAGAACCGTATGTTGCTATTTCTCGAGGACCGGTTCTAACATTGAAGACACGGCAAGAACCGGTAGGAACCGAAACCGGTAGAACCGGCTGTCCGGTTCGGTTCCTATTTTCCACCAAGTTCGGTTCCTGGGCCGGTTCCGGTTCGGGACGGTTCCAGCCGGGTCGGTTCCTTTGCTCATCCCTAGTTTCCAACCAAATGCATTTCTAAAATTTTTATTGAAAATTGAAAATGAAACCCAACTCTATTTTTTGATAACATTTTCTTGAAAAATGAAAACAGTTTTCCACAACAAAACGCACCATTAATGTCTTTATTTTTTGTTTAAAATAAGATTTTTTTAATAAAATGTTTAGACTTTAGCAGTAGGTTTGCTGATAATTTTTCCGTAATACACAAATTTCTTCAAAAAAAATGTTATTTTTTTCCGAAAAAACTCAAGTTTGACAATTATTTTTGTTAGACCAATTTTTTGTTTTGGCTCATAAACCGCGTATTGTAGCGGATGCTTGTCATTCTTGATATAGGAAAATTTAGGTTAGGTTGATGTTCTTCACAATAAATTTGATTAATAAAAATCAATTTAAAATATCAAGTTAGTCTGAAGGATATCTTTCACCATCAATAATTTTTAACCATCACGCAAATAGATTTTAAAACAAACTTATAACACTTTTTTAAAAATAAATAAAACATATTCTTAATAAAAAAAATCAAAATATTTAAATAAACATTTTGGTAAATATATGGTGTTAAAACATAACATAAATTCATTTAAACATAATGGTTTCAAAAATATTTAAGCGGGGGTCTCTGATTAAAATAACATCAGGAGTCTTTAAAACGTTTGTGCGGAATTAAATCTTTCCTCCTCTTGATGGAATGAGTTTTCCCTCCATTTATGGGAAAAAAAATATTCACGATTTCAATTCTTTCACAAAAATTGAACCAAACATAGAAAAGTTTGTGGAGTTGGATTACAATTCCCCTTAATTCCATAGAATCCACTGAAACAAATATCCATTAACGTCTTAAATAGTAGTTAGGTAAGGGTGCCAAACACCATAATTTAAAATAAAATAAAAATTGGTTTAAATGCTCGTGTTTTTAAATTGCTACATGAGATATTTTCCCACGATTATTCTTTCTACAATAGCTCTAATACACAGTTGTTCGTTACAAAGTACAACATGTCTGAATTGATTTTGCTTAAAGATTCGATTTTTCTACATGTCCCATTTATTGGTTCAGATCTAATGGATTTTGATGAAACTGATACAATCTAATTATCCATTAGATGTTGGATTTGCTCAACCGATGCAATCCAATTCATCAGACTGAATGGTGTACTCACATTTCACCACTCACTTTTTTAGTGTCACATCAGTTTTCTCCTCACTTACATTCACCCATCAAAAGCCAGGAAATTGTCACATTTTACTACCTTCCATTTTTCTTATTATTTTTTTAAAATATATTTTATACAAATATTATATTCGTTTTATAGGGAATTAAAACCCATGAATTTTAATATATTTTTTATAACTTTTTAGTATTTATATAATTCAATAAATATTAAAAAACTGAAAAAAAAAATAGTTAGTCAACCACATGAGAGAGAGGGCGGGGTAGACACCCCTCACCCCTTCCCCACGCCGAATAAACCGCATCGCCGATATTGTGTTTGCGGGTGCGGTTTCGTCCCCTGCTCTGATCCCTATAGTTTTATCTACAATTGAATCGAATCATATCGATCCAATTATATATTGGATTGAATTGGTTTTATCCGTTGGATATATTTGATTGGTCATCTATTATCCTATCAATTCTAATTCGGTGTATATCAAATAACAACCTCACAGGGGCATGCTAAATGGAATGTAAATATGATAAATATAATTAAAACCTCACACGGGCATGCTAAATAAGACTAATAAATGTCACTTCAACTTCAACGACCAAGGTTCAAGATCGACCCAAAATATGATTGTAAGAAAACGTTTAAACTTTAAGTTCAATTGAATAGTAATTGGATATTTAGTGGATTCCAATTGAATAATATTAATTGGATATAGGGTTAGATGTTCATTGGATATTTATTTGATGATTATATTGGATATCTAATCATAATTGGACCAGATTGGTTTTGAAATTTCAAAATCAATCGGATTGGATCGGTCATTAAAATCCAATGGATGACCGAAACGAACCAATCTAACGTTCATCTAATCCGATATCCAATATAATCATCAAATAAATATCCAATGAACATCTAACCCTATATCCAGTTAATATTATTCAATTATATAGGGTTAGATGTTCATTGGATATTTATTTGATGATTATATTGGATATCGGATTAGATGAACGTTAGATTGGTTCGTTTCGGTCATCCATTGGATTTTAATGACCGATCCAATCCGATTGATTTTGAAATTTCAAAACCAATCTGGTCCAATTATGATTAGATATCCAATATAATTGGTCGGTTTTGTAATTTGATCGGTTAATTTCTGCTCACCTCTAAATTGTCCCAATCAATCCTTGTGGACCACAGTCTTTTCCTAACCCATGGCAAAAATTGTTATAAGACGAAATAAACAGGCAAACAAATAATTTTAAAAATACAATCATGAAAAGCATAAAAAAACATGGTTGTCAAAATCGCGATCCTGCTTGTATGATCGTACGATCCTAGGTATGAAAATGAGTCGGATCGTAAACAGATCGTAGGTAGGATTGGGATCCGATCCGATCCTACATTCCCTTGATTTTTAATTTATTTATTTATTTTTGCAAATGAATTTTTTTTACCATTTTTATATGTCTTTTACCTTTTACCGATTTACCGCTTATCATTTTGTGTTGTGACTTATGACTAATATTTGAAAGTTTTTATAACTTTTGAACGAAAAAATGAATGTTTGAAATATTTTTTATATTTTAAAATTATAAATTAAAATTATGATTTATTTTGTGGGATCTTAGGATCCCGATCTTGCAAACCCGAAAACAATTCTATATAGGATCTCGATCTTGACAACATTGATGAAAAATATTGTAGTTGTCCAATAGAATGAAATTGATCATTATATGAACGTGATTCTTGAGTTTTGTTACTTCTTGTTCATTCTGTCATGGGCTTTTTTTTTCAATTCCATTAATCTTTTTCAATTCCATAATGGAATGGGATAAAAAAACTGGAACATAAGTTTTCATGACAAACAAAAAAAATCACATAGTTAGTTAAACTATATTATTATTTTCTAAAACAACTATAAACCAAGGTTGTCAAGATCAGATCCTACGTAGAATTGTTTTTTGGGTTTGGAAGATCGGGATCGAAATCCTAAGATCCCACAAAATAAAACATAATTTTAATTTATAATTTTAAAACATGAAATATATTTCAAACATTCAATTTTTCGTTCAAAAGTTATAACAACTTCAAAATATTAGTCATAAGTCACAATACAAAATAATAAACGGTAAATTGGTAAGGGTAAAAGACATAAAAATGGTAAAAAAAAAACTCATTTTCAAAAAAAAAAATCAAGGGAAGGTGGGATCGAATCGGATCTCAATCCTATCTGTTATCCTACCCCAAATACGATCCGGCTTGTTTTTCATACCTAGGATCGTAGGATCGTACAATATTACGATCAGGATCGCGATTTTATTACCAACTCGTTCACTCTTCTAGCTAGTCCTGATTCTTGGAGATCCATGCTCTCTGATGACGCCAAGTATTATGTTCATGATCTCAGGAGGCTTATTGACTCTCATGTAACGATCCCGACAAATAACCCGACCATCTGGTTGTATTTGGTGCCCTTAAAAATTAAATGTTTCGTCTGGCATGCTTGTTTGAACCGCATTCTCACGCCCTTTCCAAACGAGGAATCAACTTCAACTCTTCGTGTCATTGTTGCGCTTCGGGCTTGGATGAGACTCATCACCTTTTGGTGGGTTGTAATTTGGCAGCTAACACCCTTCGTTGGATTCTTAATTGGTGCAATATTCTCTTTCAGCCTTTCAGTAAGGTTAAGGAGTTAGTGGACTTTGCTGCTTATTGGGGTAATTGCCCCAAAAAAATGTAAGATTTTGATTGTTATTATCTATTGTTATATTTTGTGCATCTGGAGGGCCTGAAATGACAAGATCGATTTTGATTGCTATTATCTATTGTTATATTTGGTGCATCTGGAGGGCCCGAAATGACAAGATCTTCAATAATACGGTGCAAATTGGTCGAAACTGGCGGATAATGTGATCACTTTGGTTTTTAGTTGGGTTAAATATAGGGGGAATTATGGGGCTTGTAATTGGGCTAATTGGTGTTGCTTTCCTTTCAACATTTTGTAATTGTACTTGTGTTTTTTTGTAATTGTACTTGTGTTTTTCTCCTCTTGCCCGACCTTCTTTCTTTTTAGGCTGCGGTTTTATAATATTCCACCGTTTCCAAAAAAAAAAATTCTTTTATTATAATCTTGTTTAAGTTTTTTAATAGTTTGCTGGAGATGTTTTCTAAAAAACAGTTTCCACTCAAATGGAGTCAGGGTTTCTCTTTGTTGTTGTTGTTATTTAAGTTTGACAAAATTGCAAAAATGGCCCCTGTCGTATGCATATTTTTGGGGTTTTAGTCCAAACCACAACTTTTTTGGATTGGTGGTCTTTTGAGCTAGTTTCGTTGCGTTTTTGGTCCCTCTGAATAGTGAAATGACTGTAATGCCCTTGGGATATTTATTTTTTTTATTTTTCTTTCATTTCTTTTTAAATATAATATTAATTTATTTATTTTAATAATTAAAAAAATAAGAAGGGCCCCCCCCCCTCTCTATCTCTCTCTCCAGTTTCAATACCCAAAAGATGCAATCCACCATCGTCTTCTTCACGACCCTCGTCTTCTTCAAACTCCAAATCCTCACCACCATCTCTCCTTCCAGCCACCAAAAATCAACCACCAACACCACGATCAAAAATCTAGGTTTGTGCAATCATCCTTACTGATTCTCAAATCGAATATATATCAAAGCTCACCATCAGCTCCTCACCGCCACTTTCTCATAGATCTGGAATGCCGCTCACCTTTGTCGATCGTCGCCGCCTTGACAGCTCTGACTACAAGCCCTACGACAGCTCCACCTGCCGCTGTCGTTCGTGTTGCAGATTCGGTGAGTTCCCCACCCGATCTCGTCTCCTCCAGAAGGAGTCCACGCTTCATCTTGTCCTCCGTCTTCGTGGAGGTATGCAGATCTTCGTTAAGACCTTTTACATGGAAGACAATCTTGTAACAACGTAAATTTTCAAAACAATTTTTCTCATTTTTAAATCATATTTTCAATCATCAAAAACAATAACAACAAATTGTATCCAAAGTCATCATAACAAACAAATCCCAGAATCTCAAAACATAGTCTCTATAAGTGTGTACGGATCATGTCGGCGCCTTCCCGCGATCCTCGCTAGTACCTGAAACACATAACACAACAACTGTAAGCATAAATGCTTAGTGAGTTCCCCAAAATACCACATACCACACATACGCCTTTCCAGGCCATAACTCTGTAGGATCTTCCGATCCATGTGTCTCAGGGGACTTCTGTCCCGAATCCTGGTAGACCTTACGGTCCTACCCGTGTCGACCTTCCGGTCCTTAACCTCCTAACCTTCCGGTCCATATCAACCTGACCTTCCGGTCCTTACCATACATAACATACATAGCACATACATATCACATAACCGCATATAGCACATACATCATAGCATACAAGACCTTCCGGTCACACATAGGTACCCTTCCAGGTACAGTATAGTGAGAAGACTCACCTCAAAGAAGTCGGATAAACTCTCGTGCTCAACGTCCCGACCTAGCCTCCTCCTATTATTCAAATAACATTCCCGATCAATATTCTCTCATAGCCTCATCGCTACAGATTGGGTAGAAGGCCATTCTACCCTTCCCTGAACTCTCTTGAATCAGTCTTGACCAGAACCCTAAGGTCAACGAAAGTCAATGGTCAAACCTTGACCGACTCATCGAGTGCACATGGGCGACTCGGCGAGTCCATGCGGGTTCTCTGAATCCTTCTAGCCTCTCTTGGCTTGTCGAGTCATCGACCCACTCGACGGGTTCCACCTGTCATGAATCGCGGGGCAACCCCGACTCGACTCGTCGAGTCCACTTATGGACTCGGCGAGTTGCTTCCATGTTCTTACTCAAATGACCTTCTAATGTCAGATCTGCTTCCCTAACTATCAGATCTACCCTTCAAGTGCTCAAAAGTCACGTAAAGGTGCAACCTTTACGTGCATGCAACCCACATCGAGACATAAATGGAGAAATAACTCTAAGGATGGCAACCTAGTCTCCAATCCTCCATGAACAAGCATAAAGCAGAAAGAGGAAGGTTCTCTGGACCTCTATGGGTCCAGATCTGAGGTCTAACCCAGCAAGGAACCATGAGCTCAACTTTTCAAGCCTTAAAAGGTTAAAGAAAACCCTAAATCATAGATCTTAACCCAAAACAGAAAGGAAGTTCCATTTGATACCTCAATAGTGTAGATCTGAACTTGAAAACCCTGGATCCACAGCTCCCTTGACCTCCTCTTGTTGGAAACCACTTCTCCTTTGCTAAAGCACTCAAGAAATGGTGAATTAGCCTTCCTCTTGCACTACAAGCTTTCTCTCTGCTCTCTAGGGTTTCTCAGGGGTGCATTGGCCGCAAATGGAGGCTATAAAGGCCTTTAAATAGGGCACATACCCTGAGAATTAGGGTTTCCAAATACAGCACGGACTCGCCGAGTCCACGCATCGACTCGTCGAGTCCTTCATTAAATCAGGCAAGAAATGTGCGGTCCTACTCGGCGAGTCTGAGCGCCTACTCGCCGAGTCCCTCTCTAAAATTCAAGATAAATACTTAAAATAAGATACCTGGGAATCCGGATGTTACAATTCTCCCCCACTAGAATCAGACTTCGCCCTCGAAGTCTTGCTCCTCAAACAACTCTGGATGCTGCTCCCGCATCTCCAACTCCGGCTCCCAAGTCAGCTCGGATCCTCTCCGATGTTGCCACTGGACCTGCACCAGAGGCACTTCCTTGTTCCTCAGAACCTTGATCTTCCGATCCCGGATCGCGATTGGTCTCTCAGCATAATTCAGGCTCGCATCCACCTGAATATCCTCCAGCGGTACCACCGCCGACTCGTCGGCTATACACTTCCTCAACTGAGACACGTGAAAGGTATCATGAATCTGGCTCAGCTCCTCAGGTAACTCCAAACCGATAAGCTACCTTACCCACCCTCGCAGTCACCCTGAATGGACCGATGTACCGGGGCCCCAGCTTGCCCCTCTTCCTGAATCGGATCACTCCTTTCCAAGGAGATACTTTCAAGAGTACGAAGTCTCCCACCTGGAACTCAAGCTCGGATCGTCGTCTATCCGCATAACTCTTCTGATGACTCTGAGCCGTCAATAACCGCTGTCTAACCTGGTGTATCTGCTCTGTCGTCTGAAGCACTATCTCGGTGCTACCTATCACACGCTGCCCTACCTCTCCCCAGCAAATGGGAGTCCGACACCTCCTCCCATACAACAGCTCGAAGGGAGGCATACCGATACTCGAATGGTGGCTGTTGTTGTAGGAAAACTCAGCCAACGGCAAGCACGTGTCCCAACTACCTCCGAAGTCCAACACACATGCTCGAAGCATGTCCTCGAGTGTCTGAATCGTCCGCTCACTCTGCCCGTCCGTCTGTGGGTGGTAGGCGGTACTGAAATGCAACCTCGTACCCAACTCCTCGTGAAACTTCTTCCAGAACCTGGAAGTGAAACTTACATCTCGATCTGACACAATCGAGATCGGCACCCCATGTCGTGATACCACCTCCCTCACATACAACTCTGCCAGCCTCTCCGCAGAAGAGCTCTCACTGATAGCAAGAAAATGCGCGCTCTTCGTCAGCCGGTCGACGATCACCCAAATTGCATCGACACCCCTCGCGGTCCTCGGCAATTTGGTGATGAAATCCATGGAAATTTGTTCCCACTTCCACTGGGGAACCTCAAGCGGCTGCAACTTGCCATGCGGACGCTGGTGCTCGGCCTTAACCCTGCGACAGATCAAGCACCTCTCAACAAACCATGCTACATCCCTCTTCATACAGGGCCACCAATAGTCCTTCTTCAGGTCCAAATACATCTTAGTGGCCCCGGGATGGATCGAGAACCTCGATCGGTGCGCCTCCTCCATCAAAGTGGTGCGCGTCCCGCCTGCATACGGCACCCAAATCCGACCCTGAAAGGTCATAAGCCCATGACTATCGGTAACAAACTCAGGTACCTGCCCAATCACCCGCTCTCTCTTGCGGTTCTCCGGTCTCACGGCCTCTGCCTGGGCCTCCCGAATGGTGTCCAACATCGGAGTCATCACTGTCAATCGCATACAAGTGTCTCGAATCGGGGCACCCTCCGCCCTACGACTCAGCGCATCAGCTACAACATTAGTTTTGACCGGGTGGTACAGGATCTCACAACCGTAATCCTTTACCACGTCCAACCATCTCCTCTGGCGCATATTCAGATTGGGCTGATCCATCAAACACTTCAAGCTCTTATGGTCCGTGTATATGGTACACCGAACCCCATACAAATAGTGACGCCAGATCTTGAGGGCGAACACCACTGCCCCCAATTCCAGATCGTGGGTGGGATACCTAGTCTCATGAGGCTTCAGCTGCCTCGATGCATACGCTATCACATGCCCCCTCTGCATAAGTACTGCACCCAACCCCGATATCGATGCGTCACAATACACCACAAAATCCTCCATCCCTTCCGGGAGGGCTAACACAGGGGCTTCGCATAACTTCTGGCGAAGTGTCTCAAACGAGGTATGCTGCTCCGGACCCCATGAAAAAGCAACACCCTTCCGGGTCAACCTGGTGAGAGGCACGACGATCTTGGAGAAATCTCTGATAGTAGCCGGCCAAACCTAAAAAGCTCCTGATCTCGGTGGGTGATCTTGGCACCTCCCACCTCATAACCGCCTCAATTTTGGCCGGATCGACCAAAATCTCATCCTGGTTAACAAGATGTCCCAAGAACTGGACCTCCCGTAACCAGAACTCGCACTTGGAGAATTTGGCATACAGCCTCTCCGTCCTCAATACCCCGAGGATCTCTATCAGATGCTCCTCGTGCTGCTCTCTAGATCTCGAATACACCAGTATATCGTCGATGAATACGATCACCGAACGATCCAACATCGGTCTACACACCCTGTTCATGAGATCCATGAACGCTGCTGGTGCATTGGTGAGCCCGAAAGGCATCACCACGAACTCGTAATGCCCATAACGAGTCCTGAACGCCGTCTTCTGGATATCCTCATCACGCACTCTCATCTGATGATATCCAGACCTCAGATCAATCTTGGAGAACCAAGACGCTCCCTGCAACTGATCGAACAAATCGTCGATCCTCGGTAATGGGTAACGGTTCTTGACCGTCAATTTGTTCAACTCCCGGTAATCAATACACATCCGGTGTGAACCATCCTTTTTCTTGACAAAAAGGATCGGTGCTCCCCAAGGGGAACTACTCGGTCTAATAAACCCCTTCCCCAGCAGCTCCTAAAGCTGCGAGGATAACTCCTACATCTCTGGCGGCGCAAGGCGATAAGGCGCTGCCCCCGGAACCAAATCAATGCGGAACTCCACCTGCCTCTCGGGAGGCACACCCGGCAACTCTTCGGGAAAAACATCCGGGAAATCACGCACTATCGGAACGTCATCGATCGAACTTGGCCTCCCAGCGGCCTCTCGTGTGTCCATCACATAGGCTACAAACCCGCTGCAGCCCTGCTGTAAACTCTGTCTTGCTCTGGCGGCGGAACAAAACGCCGACCCATATCGGGTACCCTCGCCGTACACCGTAAGTACTCCCCCACTAGGGTCTCGTATCGTCACCAACTGTCGCTCGCAGTCTATAACAGCCCCAAATCGGCTCAACCAATCCATGCCCACTATGACACATACGTCCCCCATTGAAATCGGGACTAGATCTATCGGGAACTCAACACCGAAGATCTCGAGTACACATCCTCGAATCACATCCGTAGCATACACTGCTCGCTCGTCAGCTATGGAAACTCGTAGAGGTCGACTCAACGCCTCTCGTCGGCTACTGATGTGCCGACTAAACACTATCGACACAAATGATCGACTCGCACCCGAGTCGAATAACACTAAGGCATGTACAGAACTCACAAGAAAAGTACCTACGCATATCATAATATAAGCACAATATCTCAACTCAGCATAAATAAATAAAGAATACATACCAGCCACAACATCGGGCGCTGCGCGGACCTCCTCCGCTGTCAACTAGAAAGTTCTCCCGCGAGCCTTCGGTGCCTCGACCTTTGCTGGCCGAACCTCGGTAACCCTAGCAGCAGGTGCAGACCCCTGTGCTAATCCCTGATGTAACTGCGGGCACTCGGCCTTCCGATGGCCAGTCTGGTTGCAATGAAAGCAAACCATAAACCCCTTGGGGAAATCCTTGGCGATATGCCCCTCCATGCCACATTTGTAGCAAGCACCCGATCGACAGACCCCATCATGTCCCTTGCCGCACTTTCCACAAGTGCGGCCCTTCTGGCCTCCGGATCTCCGGTCCATATCAACCTGACCTTCCGGTCCTTACCATACATAACATACATAACACATACATATCACATAACCGCATATAGCACATACATCATAGCATACAAGACCTTCCGGTCACACATAGGTACCCTTCCAGGTACAGTATAGTGAAAAGACTCACCTCAAAGAAGTCGGATAAACTCTCGTGCTCAACGTCCCGACCTAGCCTCCTCCTATTATTCAAATAACATTCCCGATCAATATTCTCTCATAGCCTCATCGCTACAGATTGGGTAGAAGGCCATTCTACCCTTCCCTGAACTCTCTTGAATCAGTCTTGACCAGAACCCTAAGGTCAACGAAAGTCAATGGTCAAACCTTGACCGACTCGTCGAGTGCACATGGGCGACTCGGCGAGTCCATGTGGGTTCTCTGAATCCTTCTAGCCTCTCTTGGCTTGTCGAGTCATCGACCCACTCGACGGGTTCCACCTGTCATGAATCGCGGGGCAACCCTGACTCGACTCGTCGAGTCCACTTATGGACTCGGCGAGTTGCTTCCATGTTCTTACTCAAATGACCTTCTAAGGTCAGATCTGCTTCCCTAACTATCAGATCTACCCTTCAAGTGCTCAAAAGTCACGTAAAGGTGCAACCTTTACGTGCATGCAACCCACATCGAGACATAAATGGAGAAATAACTCTAAGGATGGCAACCTAGTCTCCAATCCTCCATGAACAAGAATAAAGCAGAAAGAGGAAGGTTCTCTGGACCTTTATGGGTCCAGATCTGAGGTCTAACCCAGCAAGGAACCATGAGCTCAACTTTTCAAGCCTTAAAAGGTTAAAGAAAACCCTAAATCATAGATCTTAACCCAAAACAAATGGAAGTTCGATTTGATACCTCAATAGTGTAGATCTGAACTTGAAAACCCTGGATCCACAGCTCCCTTGACCTCCTCTTGTTGGAAACCACTTCTCCTTTGCTAAAGCACTCAAGAAATGGTGAATTAGCCTTCCTCTTACACTACAAGCTTTCTCTCTGCTCTCTAGGGTTTCTCAGGGGTGCATTGGCCGCAAATGGAGGCTATAAAGGCCTTTAAATAGGGCACAGACCCTGAGAATTAGGGTTTCCAAATACAGCACGGACTCGCCGAGTCCACGCATCGACTCGTCGAGTCCTTCATTAAATCAGGCAAGAAATGTGCGGTCCTACTCGGCGAGTCTGAGCGCCTACTCGCCGAGTCCCTCTCTAAAATTCAAGATAAATACTTAAAATAAGATACCTAGGAATCCGGATGTTACAACAATCACCTTGGAGGTTGAGAGCTCCGACACCATTGACAACGTTAAAACCAAAATTCAAGATAAGGAGGGGATTCCACCTGATCAAACAGAGGTTGATCTTTGCAGGGAAGCAATTGGAAGATGGGCGAACTTTGGCTGATTATAACATCCAGAAGGAATCCATTTTGAACCTTGTTCTTCGTCTTCGTGGTGGTGATCTCCGTAAGTTGAAATAGATAGCTGTGTTAGTGTTCTTTTGATATGGGTGTTGACTGATTTCAGTGGGATACTATAATAGAACGATTTTACCCTGTTTTTTATGTTTGATGTGTTTAGTGTTTATTATCTGATCTTCTATACATGAATGTTGCTAGGTTACTAAGTATTTTTGTGTTATAATTTTCACAGGTAAGGGAGAAAGACAAAGTTGGGTGTATGAGAGAGAGAGAGAGAGAGAGAGAGAGAGAGAGAGAGAGAGAGAGAGAGAGAGAGTGTGTGTGTGTGTGTGGGCCCTTCTTACTTTTTTAATTATTAAAATAAAGAAATTAATATTAGATTTAAATAGAAATGAAAGAAAAATGGAAAATAAATACCCCAAGGGTAATATAGTCATTTCACAATTTGGAGGGACAAAAAACGCAATGAAACTAACTCAAAATGACCACCAATCCAAAAAAGTCATGGTTTGGACTAAAACCCAAAAAAATGCATACCACAGCCACCATTTTTGTAATTTTGTCTTTAAGTTTTAATTAATTTTTATTAAGTTTATTTTTTTATTTTTGTAAATGAAAAATCCATTAGCTATGCCTATAATTAAATAACGTATAGCGTATAGTCAAAGCTATAAGTATAATATAAAAAGTTAATGTGAAAATCATTTCATTACTACATGGCAACAAAACATGATAATCAAATGTAACAGCTCATCCCAATACTTTTGCTTTATCAGCTTATCTATTCCTTCGTCATGGATTATGCTAAAAAAAAAAAAAAAAAAAAAACAAAAAACAAAACAAAACGGATACCATATACTCATGTAACAATCTAACGACGTTTTACTACCTTATCATCATGGCTATCAGCAGCAGCAGCGGTATTAACTTGTTTGGACAAATATGCTTCATAAATTTCCACAACAATCCGTGGATCTTTCTCCACAAGCTCCATGTATTCTTCACGCTTACTTACCTTCTCCATGTTATCCAAAATTATCGATAATGAGGCATCAAGCAAGTTGTTTGCATTATGCTGATGAGCAAAGGAATAGCTTAAAAGCGAACTCTCCCAGTTCAGTTTTGAAATCAAGAATTTCTCACAGTAAATCTTGAGATGTTTTACTTCATATTTGTCAGCCAACACTAAAAGATCACATGCCATTTCGTCATCAAGACATGCTTCCGCTGTATACAAATAATTCACAAATGCACGCAGAGCATCATATGATACATCGCTTATTTTGATGGTCCCACTCAGGCTTTCTTCCATTTCGGTTTCAAGCATGGCTCGGAATACTGGCGAACGACTCGTCTGTTCATCAAAATAATATAAAATCACAACCAATTCGTCTGTATAAACAAAACATTAGTACCTTTCTCTTGTTTTTCAACTTACGTTTACCTTTTTATTTTGGTGTGCAAATTGCGGAAAAGACAATGTACTTTGCCTTTTTTCTACCGATATGGGCAATGTACCTTTTATTTTGACCGAGTTTGACCAAAACCGACTTTTTGGTTGTTTATCAAAAACCCTACCCTATAGCCTTTTACAACACTGAGATAAAGTATGTTGTTGTTTCTTGCAATTTGCCCTATATTATTAGCCATTGTTTCTAACTTTGCAAATATAAATTTTCATTCTTTTGCTTATAAAAGACCAAAATTGCCCTCACATTCCTATATCCATATGAGCTCTTAGGTCAATACTTGTGGTCTGTGAATATGGTCTACACCGCATGGTCTCTTTGCAGATATATAACAATAAATTAGTAGGATTAAAACAGAAAGCATATCATTCACTTAACACCAAAATGCTTCATGGATTTAGACATTACAATGCCACTTCACTTAACACCATAGTGCTTCATGAATTTGTGAAAGCATATCATTCACTTAACCAACCCTGTAGTGCTCACCAATCACCGTCCTTATTTTCATCAGCTGAATCCATGCAAGAACTAAATTACTCATTGAGCATAACTTCATCAAAAGCTCATCTTTCCAGTTTGAATTCCTTAAAGTGTTGACTGTCTATGTGTTTATATCTTGATTCCAATTTATTCATGAAACTGGAAAGATCAGATTGAATTCCACAAACTACAAAGATAAAAGATGTAATTACTTTTAGATCCGTACCCAGGTAGCCTTAAGGATCCTTATATTTCATTAGGAAATTGAAAAATGAATCTTAATCCATATTCGTTGAACAAACCCTAGCTACTCCCTCATTTCCTTGGTCCAATTTGAGGCGTGAAGGACAATTCAACCTTCAAAATTGAATTAATGACTACACTGTCCACTTGTCCAGACGGGATTCTAACCACATTATACCTAACAAATGCTAGGCTGCTAGCACAGTACCAGATTGGATCATGATCACTTGGTGAATTTGAAATTATTATGTTTCTACAGCAAGTCTAAAGTGGATTAATTTCGGATAAATCACTGACCAGAACGGCCTTATTGGCTGGAACAGGAACAGAATTAGCCACAGGTTTGCCGGAATCTTCATCAAAAGCCACCAGAAGTACGTCGGTGAAGCATGGGGTTGTAGATCGGTGGTAATGGTGGGAGCGGGAGTCCACAGGGGACCAAAAACGGAGAAAGTTAACTTTTGATTTTAATTCTTCGATCTCACGCTTCAGTTCTTCCTCAGTCTCGCTCGCCTCCTCGTAGCACTCTCTGCACGTGCCGGCGTCAGCAGCGCCGTACTCATCTTTGCAGGACACACACTTCATCGTCTCCGATGACGTTGACTGCTTTCCGACTTTAACCTCTCCTTAGCTTACGTTGGATAGCGGCGGCGGTGGTGGTGATGATGGTGCTGCTAACGTGCATTTCTATAAGATTTAAATCTGTGGTGGGTTTCGTCAAGTTGTCCAATGTAAAAGAAAAGTGGGCCATTCGGACTGCATTGCATCATCTTATCGCATACGGATTTAATTTTTTTTTTTTTTTTCAAAAGGGATAATGACTAGAAAAGGCATTATACATTTTTTGATTTGTATCTATAATTTTTTTTTTATTTGTCATTTCAACTTGTATAACTCGACGTATTGAGTCTTTATGACCGGCTATTACAAATAAACCGGAAAAATGATTTAATACTATAATATATTTCTCACTTTGTACACATTTGGTCACTAAGTTTTTTTTTTGTTCGTATTTGCCTTTCAACTTGTTTAACTCGACACATTCAGTCCTTGCCTATTACAAGTAAACCGGAAAAATGAGTTAATAGGATAATATATTTATCACTTTGTACACATTTAGTCCTTAATATTTTTTTCTGCACATTTAGTCCTTATTTTTTTTTGTTGCAAAATAAGTCATTGTTGTTTTTGTACACATTCAAAACTTATGAACGGTTTCTTTAGGTTTTTTCTCACAACATCCTACATAAGACAATCATTAATGAGGTGTTCGGGGTTGTTCGTGTTTATGGCAACTGCAACCTCAATTGTTTGGCGCTTAGGTATTGTGTTATGAACCTTTTAACTTCTTCTTACGATCTCAGATTTTAATGATCTTTATATCCATATGTTCGTATTTGAGTCTACTACAATTTTATTTTAGATTACTCATGTTAAAAAGTAATATGTTTTTACTTACGATTTTATACAAAAATGTTCATACATACATTTATGAAGAACACATGTATATAAAGATTGTAAGTAAAATTATATTACCTTTTAACAGGAGTTATCTAAACGAAAGTTGTAGTAGACTTAAATGCGAATGTATGGTTATAAAAATCGTTAAATTTTGAGATCGTATGAAGAAGTTACGACATTCATAAGACAATACCTAAGCGAAACACAAGACCAAAGCAACAAAGTAGTTGAGGTCGCGGTAGCCACAAACATTAACCCCGCATACCACATTAATGATTGTCCCACGTAGGATGCCGTGAGAAAAAACTAAAGAAATTGGTCATAAATATTGAATGTGTACAAAAACAAAAATGTCTTATTTTACAAAAAAAAATATATGAATGACTAAATGTGCAAAAAAAAATATTAATGACTAAATGTGTACAAATTGAGAAATATATTACCCTATTAAGTCATTTTTTCGATTTACCTGGAGTAGCCGGTCATAAAGACTGAATGTACACAGTTAAACAAGTTGAAGAGGCAAATATGGACGAAAAAAACTCAGTGACCAAATGTGTACAAATCGAAAAAGTATATTACCCTTTTAAGTCATTATTTCATTTCAAAATGGTCTATATGGTTTGTGAATATTACAAATTTAATCTAAACTTTTAATTTGTATCCATTTTGTCTATATGGTTTTCAACTTTTGTGTAATTGATCCAGGTGGAAGATGGGGTCTAAATTATGGATGAGCAGCGGTTCAGATCCGGCTTGAATCGAACCGCGAATCGAAAACTGATTTACATAATATCATGGACCAAAAACCGGATCGGGTTAGATGTGCCTGTTCCAGTTCTGGTTCCCCACACTGGTTCTCGGTTCTTGGACCGGTTTATCGCAAGTCGTAAAGTGGCTTTAACAATACTAAAAGGGTACAATGATCTCATAGATGAACTTGAAGTGATGTTTGAAATCAAATGGAAGCTTCCATTAAAAATCAATGATGATCCATCACAGTAAGCAACCAGGTTTATTATTAATTATTTTTTGGTATTAATATTTACTAATTTATGAAAGTTTAAATACATGCAGTTTCGTAAAATGGTGAACAGATTTTGATATGGTGTAAAGCAAGCAAACAAAAAAAAGGTGAGAAACCCTTTTTTGAACAAAAACCTCACACAATGACAAACATGTAACTTCAAAACAAGGACAAAGTATGTGAGTTTATAAGTACGCGACTTCATAAACTGTCGACGAAAGCCAAAGAAAAAAAAAACACATGGACCAGTTTTGCAGATTTATCAAAGTTAAAATATATTATTTAAGTCAATAACAAGATATATATGGCCTTATATCGGTGATTGACAAATAAAAAGGTCATTATCTATATGACGCAATTTATCTCTAATATATGACGCAATACAATCCAAATCCAAATTCAAATGGCCCTATGTTTCCTTTCATGCTTTATTCGGATTAATTTTTGGTCCGAAAAGATTAATGAACCGGCTATTACAGGTTGACAGGAACCAAAAGAGCATGTCATATTTTAGTTTAGGGACCCATAAAGCCTGACAAAAATTTTAGGGACTCAACGGGTAAACCCTAGAAAGTTCTTAGGGCATTTGTGTCATTTTCCCTTTATTTTATAAAAAAAATAGACGTGATAATAATTTTTAAAATAAATAAAATATATTAAAATACATAAAAGAAAATTCTCTACAAAATGAGACTAATGTTGATATATTTTTTTGATAATTTTTTAAAAATAAAATAGTGGATTGAGTTGGATTGCTAATATGGATAAAAGTTCATGGTCACTTAGGTTGTGAATGTAAGTTGTGAATGTGGAAGATGGAGAAAATAGTTTTTTAATAGATATTTGGGATGAGTTGGGTTGCCAATGAAGGTAGTCTTACCGACATACTTCTCGTGGTCTGCGACAAAGATCCACACAATTCTACGCCCATCCACGCCAACAAGGCCGTTTTGGTCGACACCCGATTATTCAAGTTTCTTTTAATGCTTAAAATACAATAATTTCATAGTTTCACATCCAAAATACAATGTTTTGAATGTTTAATATCTAACGATTCAACTTTATTTAATGAATATAAACTATGGATTATGAATATAAACTGAACTAGGATTCGTTCTAAAATTTTGGACTCTATTGGTATATGTCATGTTCTATTTCTAACATTTAGGTAAACTTTTCTTCCTATATAACATTGTATTTTGAAAAACCTTCACAATTATAGCAATCTCATTCAAATATCTACGTGTATAATTGATTGGATTTTTCAAAGTAATTATGAAAAAAATAAAAATCTCAAGTATAATGCTACAATTAGGTAGATTTTTCAAAGTACAATGCCTTAATATATAACATCTTAATACCATGTTGTAATAGGAATAAATCAAAGCAGGATGCTATACTCCAAAAATAAATCAAAATATGTTGTATCTTGCATTTAGCCCTAAAACTAGTCGTTATTAAAGCAAGTATTAGTTTTATTATCATATGTTTACAACTCCTGCATCTCAGGTGTTGCCAATCGGTACGACGCTTTAGCAATTGAGGCCGCTCCCGGAACCAAGTCGATCCTGAACTCAACCTGCCTCTCAGGAGGCACACCGGGTAACTCCTCCGGAAATACATCAGCAAACTCTCTAACAACAAGTACATCCGAAACTGAAACCTTTTCCTTAACCCGAGTCTCAACCACATACGCAAGATAACCCACGCACCCATGTTGTAGATACTGTCGAGCCCTGGAAACAAAACAAAAGGCTGGTCCAATCCTAGTACCCTCTCCATGAATAACTAGTTCTCCTCTACTTGGCATTCGAACTACCACTTGCTGACCCTCGCAGTCAATCATAGCCCCAAACCTGTTCAACCAATCCATCCTTACTATCATACACACATCCCCTATGGGAATAGGAATCAAATCAATCGAATAAGGCACCCCAAAAATCTCCAAGATACAACCCTGATAAACACTCGATGTCGAAACCCCGTGTTCGTTGGCAATAGAAACCCACAACGGACACTCTAACTCGCCAAGATTCATATCAAAACTCCTACTGAATGATTGAGATACAAAGGACCGACTCACACCCGAGTCAAATAGCACAAGAGCAGGCAAGGAGTTCACTAAGAAGGTACCTAACAGAATTATAAACATAAGCATACCATAAAAAATAACTGACAAAATAATAAATGGAAACATACCATTAATGACGTCCGACGCCGCCCTGGCCTCCTCTGCAGTGAGCTGGAAAGCATAACCCCGAGCCCTCGGGGGCTCCGCCCTACCCTGGCGTTCATCTGTAATTCTAAGGGTAGTAGTAGATGGCGCTTGTACAGGTCTGGCGGCAAGTAAGGGATATTGGGCATTCACATGGCCCACCTGCTCACAGTGATAGCAAATCCTACTGCTCAGCGGAGGATCCTGCTGACGACAGTCATTCACAAAGTGTCCCTCCCTGCCTCAGTTGCAGCATTCAGAAGAAGAATACCGACATACATCATCATGATCCTTGTCGCACTTCCCATAAGTGCGACCCTTCTGACCTCCAGATCTCGAATCAGCGGGTTTGAACTGCTTCGTTGTTAGCTGTGACTGAACGGGAGCCTGTATCAACTCCCTCGTCAAAATCTATATCTCAATCTGCCGCCTCCTCGCGGCATCCTGAAGCTCGGCGAGGGAACCATAACACTGTGTGGACACGAACTGCCGAATATCCGTCTTGAGCATGCTCAAGTACTGGGTCAACTGAGCCTGCTCCGAAGTAGCAGACTCAAGGCAGAAAAGAGCCCTCTCAGTAAACATTTTGGTGATCTTCGTCACCGTCTCAATAGTCTGCCTTAAATCCAAATACTCATGGCCCAACCTCTCCCTCTCCACCAAAGGGACGTATCTCGTAGGGAACATCTCCGAGAACTACTCCTAAGTAACAGCACCTCTCTGCTCAGGAGTGTAAGCATTAGTCACCAATCTCCACCAATCCTTCGCCCCCAATCTGAGAAGGTTCAGGGCGCAGTTGACCTTCTGGTCTGCAGGGTAAGAACATGTGAAGAAAAACCCCTCCACATCAGATAGCTACCTCATCGCTACAATCAGGTCCTTGACCCCATCAAACTCCGGGGGCATCGTATTGTCGAAGACCCGGTACTGGTGTAACGCTCGATTCCAGGTATGAAATTATTTTCAAAATTTTCATGGATTATCTTTGAACACAACGTGTTGAAGCCTCAACACGACGTGACATCAGGACTTTGGCCTGCGGAGT